AATTGAGTAGCCTCAGCTGCATCACTTCTGGAGAACGTAGTGGTCACTGGGCACAGCAAGAGCAGTAACAATTTTTTTGATTCCCAGCATGAGTTGGTAGATAATTAGTTTATGTAAGTGCAGTTTAGATATAGGAGCATTTTCACAGTACATTTCTATGAAAAAAAATAGCCAGTTCTGTGGCTGATCTTAACTTCCCAACCCTTTTGCAATGGTGCAAACTCTGATTTCCGTGCAGATTCTCTCTACTGTGAGATCAAAATAAAGGATCCGATTTGGGGGAAAAATCCTGTTTTGCCATTGTAGTTCTACCGTTTGTTGAAATTAATGTTCATAGATCTCATTAAGTTGTATTCGCTAGAGGGCAAATATGTGTATGTCAACCTGAATCTCGCCTGTCTTGAGTTTTAGATACCATCAGTTACAAGTAAGGCTCTTTTGTTGAAGAAGGAAGGTATTGCATGAAAAGAGGATACAGGATTATATTATATGCTAAGGTGTAATAACTTCCTTCAGAAAGACTTCAAATTATTTATTTTTTGGTGTATACTATGCAATGTACACCTGAAACAGTTTTGCCCCATGTAACTGTAATGTTGGACTTTCTGGCTAGACCTCAACTTCCAAAGCTTTGTGTGTTTTCTGCCTTATCAAACATTTCTGCTGTTGGGGGTGGAATATGAGGGAATAGTGACCTTTTTCCAGTGTTGGTTATGGAATAGGAAGCTGGTGGAAGATGATTGCCACAGAGCTGCAAAGATAATCGGATGCAGTTCATTACTCATCTTGTCAGCTGCTCCTGCTACAAGGGATTGTATCACAAGATGTTAATCTGCTTGTGACTAGATTTTAAAGCAAGCATTTTTGTTGGGGGTGTGTGTGTCTGTAACTTCTTTCAGTTTCATATAGTTTTCAGAAGCAAGAGAAACGGAAAATTCCCAGTTTAAGGTCTCAGAATGTTACTTGATAAAAATATTAGCACATCATTTTTAGTTCTGCTACAAAAATATGATGGTACGCTGCAAAAAGCTGTTTAATTGCAGAAGCAGTTCTTTTTAAGCTAGTGATGAGGTTGTGTGTTTACTGAATAGTGGAAGTTAGTCTGCTAGGCGCCAAGTATAGACACAAGACAGAGATGAATCAAAAAGAATCCTTTTTACATAATAGATGACTAATTTAAGTATATCCAATGCTCCCATACGTTGTCTACCAGTGAGGACATTTGGTATAAGTATAGTGTAGTAGAGGATCAGGTCCCTTGCTTACATACTACAAAAGTACAGATGACAAGAATGCAATTTCAGGTAGATTGCAGCTTCTCAAAGTGAAAAGCCCAGAAGAGCTGTTCCTTTCTGATTCTGTTGGGACATTGCTCACAGTGCTGTATGAAGCAGAGGGGAAGACTTATAAACTTACCATTACGATGAGTCAATAGATGTGCTGTGTACATTTCAGGCAAGCAGTGCTGCCCTTTACTCTTCCACCTTTATTCCACTAATTCTTTTAAGTCCTTGAAGTTGTCCAGTCCAAGGAGAGGGAAATTCCTTCAATTTCTCTGCTAAGCTGGGGAAAAACACTCCGTTTGCTACTCTTTTTTTGTGTGTCCTTTTCTAATATTGATTATTAACAAATGGGATTGCACATTATATTTGTAATAGTTAAATTATAACTTCCATTGTGACCTACAGCACAGAAGTAATCTCTGTTAGAATACTTTCTTTAAGAAATAAGCAGCCAGGTACCTAAAAGTATTTAAGAAAATAATATATTGAGGTGATGTGTAAGCAAAGAAATTACAGGTTTAAACAAAATAAATAAATGGTTTCTGGCTGCTCATGGTTGCATATGGCACTCTTTACTCCAGCAGGAATATCTAATGCTTTGCTGTGTTCCAATTTCGGTAACTACAGTCCACCCACTTAAATACCCCCTGGTGTTTGCGTAGGCAACAGTGTTTTCTAGTTCCTGCCACAAACTCTTACGTGGTCTTTTGTGTACTACATTTCACCACCAGCTGTATTTCACCTCCAGAGTGACTGCATCTCAGCACTGGACAAAGTGAAACATCCTACATCACATCACTAGAAGCAACCAGCAGGAACTCCCTAGATAATGTTTTCAGTTGTTCCAAAACTGTGACATTAATCATTTTTTTTCCCTAAACATTTTTGACTGCGTAGTCAATCAGTATAAAATGGTTGAATTTTCCATGTACTTTTCCCCTCTGTTTCTCCTTCTACAAATTACAGTTGGATAGCCAAGCCATAAGGGCCTAGATCAGTTATGAATTTCTGTGTAAATGAATACCATTTGCCTGGGTCAGAAGAAACAAGCTAATGGGCAGAGGTTTAATTGCTACAGCTGTATCTGCTATGCATGTGTTTATATGAGTACATAGGTATATATGTCCGAGTTTGTACTTACGTATGGTTATGTACAAATGTTACATATTTTCACAAAAAAAAAATGAAATGTCAGGTTTATATTGCTCTTACTTGTCACAGTGCTGAATCACAATTAAGACAGAAATGTGGAGGGATTGCAAGCAAGTTTGCATTCAAGACCATTTAATCATTGTATTTTCTGCTGAGACTATGACAGAGGTGTAGATGGTGATTACATTAATGAAAGAAAGTTGTTTGAAGGTGCTCTATAAGTCTTTTTCTGCATCCATTAGATTATTTTGAAATTGAATTGAGTTACTATGCTGAACAGGCAAACGATGTTCCAGGTTGGTATAGAGAATATGAAAGCTAATTACTTTACTTCATAGTTTATGTGAAAGGCCATTTGTTTTATACTAATTTTCGTATTTCAAATGTGAAACTGTGAAATGAAGAGCTGAATGATTTCACAGTTATGCTATAGTAATAAATTTACCCCAAAAAAGACTTTTCATGCAGTATACCTTCTGAATCACTGTCTAAAATTATCATTTTATTTTTCCCATATATGAAAATCAACTACAATTTTACAGAAAATACAAACATAGCTATAAGATGGGGTTACTTTGGTTTCTAAATCCATAGGTGTCCTCAAGCAGTCACAAATGAGATCCCATCATTCCTGCTGATTTTAGTTTTCTATGTTAATTCTCATACATTTTACGGGTGTGACACCCTGTCCCTCTGGTTACCCAACAAGATAAAAGATGTTCTCTCTTTCTTCTGACCCACAGATTTTATCATTCTTTGGATATCTTTAGAGATAAAGGATACAGTTGGATGAATTCTGTGTCTAATCTCAGAATTTGTGAAAGCATTCTGACTGATAATATGATAAAAAAAAAAGTGTACATTTGACAGATGTGCAGGCTTTATATCAATTATTTAAGATAATAGTTTTTGAATTGAAAACTTGAGCTTGAACTTGCAATCTTTCAATGACAGATTTTCAGATTCAATGCCTGTTCCCTGTTAGTGCAGGGCATTTTAAATACCCTCATTGCTTTCTATGTTAGTGCCTATGCAAGTGAATAGAGTGCTTTCTTTATAACGTTGTCCTGTTAAGTAATTCATTTTGGACTAGCTAGACTTTTATATTTGAAAGAGCTTATGTTGTTAAGAAGAACTAATGTTTAGTTTAGTTTTATTGTTTTTCCATTTTTCTCATAGCGAAGTCATTGGCAGCACCAAAAGGAAAACTGAGAAAATGCACTGACTGCATCCTCTTTGACAGTGATTTCAGTCTTGAGTCCTTTGCTTAAACTCATCTTTATCTGTGAATATTGTGCTTTGGTTTAAAAACTATGGTGTTTCAGATTGAGTTGGGATAGAATCATAGAATCATTCAGGTTGGAAAAGACCTCTAAGATCATCAAGTCCAAACATAATAGAAACAGCCAAGTGCCAACCTGAAATCTGTGTAATTGCTGACATCCGTAAGCATTGCTGAGTATTTTGCTTTTCATTTATGAGTGTTTTACTGAAAACTTTTTGCTGATAATCCTTAGTATCCTTAGCATCCTTAGTGATTTGGTCAAATTGCTTAATTTATACAGTAGGGTCAATATATTGCATATATATACCATGCAATCAAGAAAAACATTCTGAGCTTTCCCATCCAGGGAGGTGCTCAAGGCCGGGCTGGATGGGGCTTTGGGCAACTTCATTCAGTGGGAGGTGTCCCTGCCCACGGCAGGGTGGGCTTCAAGGACCCTTCCAACCCAACCCATGCTGTGATTCTGTGACTGTAAAACACTGGATGGCCTCCCAGGTGTCTAACAGGTGAGCAGGATAGGTTACCCACCATCGGGTCTTGCAGTTTTTTCCACCTCAAGCATACAGACAGGAAGAGAGCAAAAGAGAGGAAGCAAGATCATGCTTTAATGGTTGGTTTGAGCTTTGAGTGCAAGATGTTCAGAGGATTAACTAATCAGCCTGCTGTTTCATGTATGTCTTTTTTGCAAGAGTACACTACCTTGTTTCCACTTCTGGCAGCAAGCCTTGTTGACACAAGGTGGTGAGGAGTCAACTGTGAGGTTCACCGTATTTCCTTGTTTTGCGTGGGTTTTGAAGCTGGAAATTCTTTTGCAGTTCTGTGTGAAACAAAGCAGCATGGACTGGTTCTGGTCCCTGATCAGTGTCTATAAGCATGTTGTACTGCCAGTAACATAATTGCTGTGATTTAGCCAACAAGAGAACTCCCACTGAATGAGAAGGTCATTGCAATACAAAGAGATTTCCTAACAAATTTCTAAAGTATACTACATGTATTTCTTTCTACACTCATACCTCACTCCAAAATATCTATGCATTTCTTGTGGGAGCATTTCGCTCAGATATGAGGGAAAAGATGCCAATTGAGAGTTGACTGAAGCTTTTATTTTTATTTTCTCACATGTTTTTTCTAGCTTTAAACTCAAGGAAAACTTCTCAGACTTCATTAGTTTTCATTCTCAGTGGTGGTAGAAGGGCTGTGATAGAAACATTTGCAATGTTTAAGATTATTTGAAAAGGTTTGGCTTTAAAACTTTCTTTTCTTTTCTCCCTTGCTATCAGGATGGCCAGTCTGATATTTTGTACAAATTCTGGACTGCAGTAACTCAGACTCTCTCCTCTCAGTTTCAGTCAGCAACAGACTGTAAGTATTTGATATAAATGATTTGTAATGTGTTTTGTAGATATTTTGAATCTCTCATTTATATAAACTCTTTGTGCATTATCTTCTCTACTAAAACTATATTAGTGGTTCACTCAGTGCTTGGTCTGTGAATTTAAATTTTTTATGGTTTTATAACCAAACAGGATGGTCTTCCTAAACTGTGATCAGGTTTTCAGAAAAAAGAAAAAAAAAGTTTTCTGTTTAATTAATTAGTGGTAATTAATATATATATATATATATATGTTTTTGGAACTGCACATGTAAGTAAAAAGATTTGGAATGGTAGGAATGGTACATTATTCTTTCCAAAGTGGATGGGTTGGACAAAATTGTAAGTAGTAATTTGATTTTAAAAAGCAGTTCATACACACTTCTGTTAATGAACGCTCATCAGTATCAGTCTGTTTTTAGCCACTTTTTGATACCTTATAAACAGGAGCTGAGTTTTGTTAAAATTCTGTCTTGTCTAGATAAATGGTTAGTGTTCTCATTATACACAATATTCAGCGCATGGGTAGTAAATAACTAGCAGATGCAACCAGGCAATATTAAATAAAAATCATGTTATAAACATAAAACTGTTGTCATATTAATGCAGCATGCAGCTGGGTCATAAAACCAGATGAGCTCAGTGCTTTCAGAAATACATCTTTCATGTTTGTATACAGAGTATAAAGTTAATCTTTTGCATGTACAAAAGACATAAGGTTTGCATTTATCTTTGTGATCTCAGCTACTGCATTGGCCCTTCAAAATTTCGTCTTGCCCCGCTATAAGGCAGCAGTATAATTTTGAGGAAGTAGCTGTTTGATTCATTTTCAGTGGTTGCTAAGTAACTAGATGATCCCAAAAGAAAATATATTCGTCTTGTGTTAAAACATATTAATTTTACTGTTTGCCTTAGGCATACTTTAACAGCAGTATGTACATACCAGGGATCTCATGTTCACACAGAACATGTGCTAACTGTTTTCAGCACAAGGTTTTAAGACTGTAAAATTGTGACATCAGTTAATGGGATCAATCAACATCTCAGAAATAAGGTAACTCTTACATTTTGTCAGCAGTACCTTGACAGCTATTCAAAAATATTTTATTACTTGTGATTTTTAATGATTTTTCATATCAACGTTTGGAGAGAACATTTGGATTTTTAAACTGAGTGCTGTTTTTTCTTTGCTACATCTGATTTTTGGGGAAACTACTTACAGCAAGTAGACTTTTTTTTTTTTTTTAAATAGCACATCTATATAAAAATGTTCCTTTTAACATGTAAATTTTAAGTGATTGAATTCACTGACATGAGTCATCGACCTTGAGATCTTATAGATTAGAGGAAGATCAATATCAGAAAAATAGAATGAAAATATGAATTCATGCCAGTTTACAGGGCATGCTAATAGATGATTATCTGCTTTTGTGAGGCTGGGACAGCTTTATAAACATCATTTTGTGACCTAAAATAACTCTACATATGATAATAAATGTGAACCTTCCAGTATTCAAGATAAGAATATATTTTGAAAGGACAAGTTGACAAGCTGGGTAAAATGGGGCAGAGGTCCAGAACCTGGAAAACGTATGAATGAATGGAACAGTGTTAATCTCCAAATGTAACAGGGAAATCCATAAAGTATGAGTGATGTTAGATCAAGATTAACATCAGTCTCAACAACAGTTGAACATTTGTTTCATTTCCTGTTGCTTTCAGCAATCCTTTCGAGGCTGAAGATAACACTGATTTTTCTGCTGGCTTTGTCATTCTTTATTTGACAACCTTAGGAATTACATTTTAGGTACCTTATTTTAAGAGGTGTATGTAAAAGCATGTGCTTCCACCATCACAGTTTGTAGAGCTGGGCTCCTAGGCATTGTCTTTGTCTCTTCTGAGTATCTTGAAAGTTGCACGGCAGCACATTTCTTCCGCTGCCAAGCTATTGTTAGAAAAGCTTTATTTAGTGAGTTCTAATCACACTTTGGACTTAAATGAATAATAATACTAATAATTAAGTTTGTTACCAACCATTTCATGACCATAATTAGTATATTTAATACACAAAATAAGTTTTCCATGTCCAGTCTTTGAACTATGGAGTTTTATTACTGGAGCTTTAGATACATATCATTATCAACTGCATTTAATGTGATAGCTCATACTACTCTGAAATTAATTATAAGTATTACATTAGTAGTATTAGAGAGAATGATATTACGTATTATTCATTGACTTAAATGCATGGATACAGGTTATTCATATAAATCAAATAAATTAGTTTGAACTTGTTAATGTGCATTACTAATTACTGCTTTATTTTGCAGCCTCTATGTTTTTGAAACAAGCTTTTGAAGGAGAATACCCTAAATTACTGAGGCTTTATAATGACTTGTGGAAGCGACTGCAACAATACAGTCAGAATATCCAGAGGAATTTTAACACAAGTGGAAGTACTGATCTCTTTGCTGAACTGCAACAAATGGAAGAAGATACACAGGACATATTCATGCAAAAAAAACAAGACTATGAGTATGTATTAAGAACTCTAATGCAGTACAATGTGAAGCTTGGCATCCTGCAAGAAAACAGAGTATTTTTAAAAGCTTGGTGTTAATCAACTTGTCATAGCAGGAACATTTTAAAGGCTTTTTTTGGCCTCTTGTGTTTATTGTTTTGATACTATTTTGGAGCTGTGGGATTTTCATTAGATTACGTAATTAGCAGTGTTGGATTGTCTTGTCTTTCACAAAGTGCTTAGTAATATTATCTTGAAACCAGGTTTTTTTTTGTTTCTTTGGGAAATGAAAAATAGGGATTGTCAAAATTCAGTTTTATATATATTGATATTGCTATAAGCTACTAACAGGAGCTTTCTTTTAATGATACCACAATCACTGGAATGTGACATATGTTCTGTTTGTTATGACTCACTATCTATATGTTTATATACCATTAGGAAAACATGTTGTGAGTGGTAGATACCAGAAAGATCAAACTGAAACAGGCTTATCAAGTCTATTAGGATTTCTAGGCAAAGGAAAAAGTTCGTCAAACTTTTCTGACAATGAGGAAAAATATTTGAGAAAACTACTACTTTATCACGTACACCAATACAAATACTAAGAACTGGAACTTGGTAATTTTAAGATAGGTCTTTCTATCTGAACCTTTTTATAAACATACATATACCAGGAGAGATTTTTTGTATTTTTTAAAGTATACCAGTGATCACAAGTTATCTTGTAATGAAACACTGGAATACAAAAATGTCTTTGATTGCAATTGTTATTCTGTTGATGTTTTTACAACTGTTTGTCTTGAGAACATCTTGGATTAGGGATTCCACATAGGTCTTTCTGAAAGGGCTACAAACTCTATTGCACTACACAGAATAGCTGCCCGACCAGTTACACTATTCAAGTGAAAAGCAAGCTATTCAGTATTCAAATATTTTCAAGTATATGAATGTATTTAGAGAGTAGAAAAAAGAAATGTTGGATATTGCAAAGTTTGTATGGTCTGGAAAGATCTGATGCTATTGTGTATTTGAATTTTGAATGTAATAATTTTGTCTTATAACCACAGCCCAGAAAAGGCCTTGAAAGATTCACTGCAACAATATGAAGCTGCTTATTTGTCAAAATCTTTATCTCGACTCTTTGATCCCATCAATCTTGTCTTCCCTCCTGGAGGTCGGAATCCTCCTTCTTCTGATGAGCTTGACAGCATCATTAAAACTATAGCCAGGTATGCACATATAATGCATTGCAAAATGTAATCTTCAACGTATTTTTTCTTGTATATTATGATTTCAGAAATGAGATTTTGTTAGCAGTAAAAGGTTGATTACTCTTTAATTTTAAAACTGATTAGCATAAAAATTAAGTCAGGGTTTATCTTCTGTATTTTGTTGTTCTGGAACAACTGTAATATTCACTCAAGTTTTACTGTTCAAGCTTATAAAATATGAGGAAGAGAAATTTTAAACCTATTGCCAATATCTGATATCTTAATTATTCTGACTATGTCAACAGTAAAATGATGCTTACTTGGCTGCAAATGATAATCTTTGATGTAAATCATCTCTTAGAATGAAACAGCAAGATATTAGTTGAAGACAATTATGCCATGCGGAATTTATAAAATGAGATGCTTGAATTACCAATGTATATTTAAACTCATAAAGTTTTGGCTAGTCTGTTTAGTACAGCCTGGAAATGATGGGCAGTATTCACACTGTGAATGTGTGTGAGTATATTTGGGTAAAATTAAATGCTGACACTGAACTTGTGGCTGGGAGTTACGAGTGCTCAGAAGGTGCCTGTCTGTGTGGCTGCTGATGTTGTTTTCCTCCTTGCAGAGGAAAAGGGAAAAAAACATTCAGCTCTGGGACACACAGCATAAGAAAGATGTAGGCCTGTTAGAAAGAGTCCAGAGGACAGCCACAAAGATGATCTGAGGGCTGGAGCACCTCTCCGATGAAGAATGGCTGAGAAAATTTGGGTTATTTAGTGTAGAGAAGAGATGGCTCTGGGGAGACCTTATTGTGGCCTTCCAATACTTAAAAGGGGCCTATAGGAAAGATGGCAAAGGGCTCTAACAGGACAAAGGACAGGGCAAAGGGTAATTGTTTTAAACTAAAAAGGGTAGGTTTAGATTAGGAATAAGGAAGAAATTCTGTAGTCTTGAGGGTAGTGAGGCCCTGGCACAGGCAGCCCAGAGAAGCTGTGGATGCCCCATCCCTGGAGGTGCTCAAGGCCAGGCTGGATGGGGCTTTGGGCAACCTGGTCTGGTGGGAGGTGTCCCTGCCCATGGCAGGGGGTGGAACTGGGTGGTCTTTAAGGTCCCTTCCAACCCAAATCATTCTATAAGTCTATGACATGAAAATTAGTAAGCTTCAGCTGAATTTTCCAAAGTGACCTCTAGATAATGATGTTGGGGGCCCTGCAGGACTCTCAGAGAAGGATATTCCTCGTTTCTCTCCAGTTCTTGGGAGAGACTAATCTCATCACTAGCAGCACTGTGGTCCCTTGGGATGGTCCTTGTGCTTGTCTGCATTCTCAGTAGAGCATTCATGAATGCAGCCCCAGCTGAAGGAGATCCGTGGAGTTCCACGTATGAGCAATACTGCAAGAGATTTAGAAGTATTTTCCTTCTTCCATTTGTTCCCTGTCATTCCTTTGGGGCCTTTGTTACTACATAGTATTGCCTAAAACACAGCTTATTAGTTGTGTCAAGCTCAGGCATCCCCTGGGTATTTCTGCACAGCTCATGTAATTCCAGAGTTGAATGACTATGTATTCACCTGTAATGTTTGAAGGCTGCTGCCAAAGCTTGAATGTAGTTAATTGCAGTCAATATTTTTGAATGGCTTACTAATAGCGATTTCATACTGAAGTGTCATTCCTAAACTTTGCTCATTTTTACCAGAATAGGAACACTCTGAACATAAAATTCCCAAATGACTTGTTAAATTGTAAACTGAATTACAGTGCTTAGAAAGACTTGGTTATGTGTTACTCTCTCTAAATTGACATGCCACATAAGTAAGTATTAATAGTTAATTTCTTATCAATTAAATACAGCACTGCTAAGGTGTTAATTAAGATTTGTAATCTTTGCTTCCAGTGAGCTAAATGTGGCTGCTGTTGATCCAGACCTCAGTTTAGCTGTTTCAAAAAACGTGGCAAAGACCATTCAGCTCTATGGTGTAAAATCTGAACAGCTTGTAAGTAATTTCAAATTTCTAAAAAATTCTGTCTTTCTATGTAAAATGTTCACTTTTTTTGTAGATTTACAACAGAACAGTATTGCAACCTAGAGAGACAAAACCTTTGAATTAGCTTTACACTTGGAAATCTTTTCAGTTAAATTCTGCTTTCACATAAACAGTATATTGATAGCAATACAATTTGTGTGGATAACTCCAAATTGCCATGTTAGTTAAAAAACAAAGTCTAGTTGTTTTTAAGTAAAATCAAGACAGTTCAATCCATTTTAATATTTACTACCATTGGATAGCCTATTGGTTACATGATATATGGTCTTTATGGCATTAGAATCTACTTGCAACAGGCATTTTTTGTGTATATTTATCATTTGCCATATATTTACTTGACCTTTGATTTCTTTGCACTTCTCAAATGCTTCCAGTCATTCACCATGCACTGTTATTTAATGTTAAATTGAACAGAGGAAGGGGGAAGGATTCCCAAGAAGCCAATGGGTAGTACAATGAATATCATAATTTTTAACATCAACTATTTTCTAGTGATGTCTGTTGCTAAAATGTTAATGCTTTTATTATGGAAAGATTAAAATTGCTTTGTTGCAATATGGAGACCCTCAAGAAATTGCTAACCACTTGTATTTGTGAACAAGATTTTCTCTTAAACAACGTTAATTCTGAAAACAAAATCAGACTCTGGTGACATTCCTTTACTATATGGCTCATTCAAAGACAGAGGGAATCACTAACATTTTTTTTTCAACAGTTGTCTACAAAACATTGCAGTTGTTAGGTTAGTATGGATTCTGTTTAACTTTTAGACACCTGCTGTCACTGAATAGCTTTCAAAATGTGAAATTCAATAGCAAATTCTTTGTTTAACACATCTGTTGGATGAATTGTGTTGGAAGAGATCAAATCATGGTGTCATAATTTTGGAGTGAAGTTTGCTCAGGTTGGCAGGAGTCATCATGAAAAAAAAAAGGGGGGAAAAAGAAACTTGCATCTCTATTTATCTTGGAGTGTAGAGTCAAATAGTGGCATATGTATCAGCTGTAACTGTAAAAGCACCAGGGTCTATTGTGCTCAGCACCTCTGTTAGAGTTTGAATCTGGCCAATGGCTTGTTCAAGAGCATATATAATTTTGTGATCAGCCAGCTGGCAAGTTCTCAAGAAGCCCTGAGGAAAAAAGAAAAAGATATGTAGAAATAATCTGATGAATACATGACTTGTGGCCTTGTGTTAGTTGACTAACTAAAATAATGTAAAACTAAACGAGTTAAGAGGGAATCTAAACCCTTGAACTATACAAACTAGTGAAAATGAAACTTTGAAAAATCAAGAGACAGGATTAGTCAAATTGGCAGAGTGAACATCAGTGTACTTCAAGAATATGCCTACAAATTGTAAAACAATACAAATTGTTTATTGTAAAGCAATTTTAAAATTTAATTTAATTTTTTAATTTTTTTTTCTTTTCATACTGATACACATGTTGAAAAATTAAAACTGGAAAGATTCAACACAATTGTCAAGGCATAGCTGTATAGTGTCATCTTTAAAGTGCTAAAATACATGTATCTTGCTTAGCCTCCAGCTGCCTTTCCAGAAGAGCACGGCTGTCTCACATCTTGTGTCATGCTTGCCAGCCCTGTGCATACAGTTTAGAATTTCTTAATGTTTTTTTGGTTGATGTTGGGTTTTTATTTTTTCAGTTCAGTAGATGAAATAACAATTTCACACACACACACACAAAAAAAATAATAATAAAAAAAATATTTTACTAAGATTTAGACAGGAAAAATAACAAGAAAAATATTTTTCAAGATCCAAGATGTTAACTTTGGGTAAAAGCAGCATATAGCAGTCTGTACATACAGAATTAAAGCAAAAACAAGAAAAAATGGCCTTTTCCAATGAATCCCAAATATTTGTTCCTATTGCTTGTGACTTTGTATGCTGCTGGCTTTTGGTTTTCCTATTTACCAATGCCAGGAACTAGCAGTTGCTGTGCCTCAAACCTATTCTTGTATTAACCAGTTCAAATGATTACAAAGAAGATATAAATAACCACTTGTGAGCAGTAGGTAGATTTATTCTGCTGCTGGGTGAATCTTTAGCTTCACTAGTCCCTTGTTGATGCTTGGTGTGGTTGGTATATGCCATGAGGTGTTCAGAATTACTGTCCTAGTTTCACTCAGTGTAACTGCAGATGTTCTTAACTATGCAGAGTTTGAAGGAATAATTATACATTGCATTAATTAAAAATATATTTCTGTTAAATTAAGACAATAACCTTTTAACCTCACCACCCATCCTGTTTTTTATTAGGTGATGCTGAGGAAGAGTACTTGGTATTGCTATTTTTTCCCTTCTTATTCATGTTTTCCTAAATCACACAGCCCAGGCATCCTTACAATGATTACAGACATCGTGAGATTTTTATTTAGTCACCAATTCTATGTCCTTGTCATTCCAGATCAGAAAAGAGATTAAAAGTCTGATCTGTTATTTTGGATAAGAGTAATTTTTTATTTTTTTCCCTACATTTGTGCATCGTAATACACTCCTTACTTTTTAATGTAACTGCTGCTTACTGAGCTAGATTTTGTTTGTTGGCCACTTTTTCATAAAAAGTGAGGGGTCCCAAATTAAAACAACAACCACAACAACAAAACCACTATTTTTTTCTATTTGATTTGAGTTTTCAAGGGGATTCATCTATTTCCATTTATAAGTACCTTAGGTTACCTATCTACCCATCTTGATTGATACATGTAACACATGGTCATATTTAACTGGCCACATAAGGGAAATTAGCTGTTTCATCAAGTGCTGACAGTACATACAAGGGAGGGGAGAGATTCATGAGAAACTTATAATTGCTCTTCCTGAAAACAAAGAAAAACTTGAGTGTTTTTTGTTTGTTTTGTTTTGTTTGAGAATCCATGCAACTTAACAAAAGATGAGATCTCACAAGTCTGCCTCTTAGGTTTTGACCCATTTATATAATTGATAGTTGAGAAGAGACAGAAAAGAAAGCTTCTGTCTCACCAACGTCTTCATTAATTGCCTTTTTTACATGGCAGCAGTAATTGCAAAGCAGGATCCTCAAGGGCAGTGGCCTCCAACTGTTTTTGGTCAGGCACCTCTACCAGTAAAAATACTTCTACAAGTTAAATACAATGTACTATTGAAATTCTTATATTTTGTTCCTGCACTCCAGTGGCTCATTTTTATAATACTTGTGGTGCACACACTCCACTTGAAGACCACTTACTTTAGGGTGATACTCTGCAGAAATATTCTGTATTCAAGAAGTGAAAAGATTTTGGCTGTCTGTTTTTGGAAAAGATACCTCATTGATTTCAGAAATCTTTTCAATGGTTTTAAAATGTGAAAATGATAGTCACCTGTTTATTGGAAGTGAGACATAATTGTATTTTCCCAGTTCATTCCCTGTAATTTTATCATTTACTGAGTGGAATTTTGAATGTATTTGATATGTTGTAGTTTTGCTCATAATTAAAAACCTCTTTGTTGCAATTTTGCAGTCACTGTGTTTTGGCTTGACTGTTGGTAGGGATATTTCTCTGACACTTAGAACTGGATGTTTTGCAGAGAGAATTCATGAAAACATTGAGAGCTAAAAGCTCTGAAAGTTTACAAAATTGGTGCTTTTGCCAACAAGCAGAAAAATAAATTGTGAGACCCATTGTCCTTATAGAGATGGAAGAGCCCTCTTGGCCATCTAGTCTGTTCCCTTCCCAGCTCAGGACTAGTCCAAACAGTATTTATTGTCATCTTTTTTTTTTTTTTTGTTGCATTCTTTCTGCCTTTTGAGTGATGATTTCAGTTATCTCATATATTGGGAGTGGAAATGTAAGTACTGTATGTTCTTTTGTGCTATTTCTGTTCAGCTTTGCGTGTGGGTGGACTGAAATACACTAACACACCCACCAAGTGCACACAGATGAAACGTGTTGTGCTGTGAACATGACAATGCAGTTGTTTAGAGGAGATGTGATTCTCCTCCTTTTTGAACCTGCAGACCTCTTGCTAATTTCTTTCCTAGAGTTGCAGTCGTCCTGTCAGACTGTCTTTATTAATCACAACCAGAGACCCACAGCACTCCCTCTGGTCTTGCTGTCCGTGTTGTGGAGGGCGTCTCGCTGCCTCCCACTGGAAGGCCTGACCATCAGAGACTAACAGCCTGGTATCTTTTGAGCAATAAACAAGCCAAGAGTAATTGGCAGAGGCAGGATTGTAAAAATCAGGTTGCCCACTTGCTTTTTGGAGCAGGTGGGGGTGGCTATGCTAGCAACTTCTGGAGGATCCAACTGTCTTAAAAATCACTTGTACATTTGGATATGTAACGGTGTTGCTTCATGTCTGCTAACAGTACAGGCAAAGCAAGAACCTACACGATCTTATTACGCCAGGCAGATTTATCCTAGGGTTAGGATAGATAAGGCTAAAATCAGTGGGAGCTGTGATTTCCTGTAATTGGAGAAGGTTCCTAAAAATGGAATATTTGTATTTTATGGAGTAATATTTTTCAGTAAAGTTTGTCTAAAAAAAGGGATCTTTCCAAGAGACGAGAGGCTGCAGGCAGATGACATAATGGAGATCTTTCCCACTGTCAGACTTGTAAGCAATCATAAAGAGGAAGCACTCAAAAGATGGAGAAAGAGAGTGGGTGTAATGAGGGAGGAAGGAAATAGAGAATTTGAATCATTTTTTTTATTCTCTTAACTAAATGTGGTTGGACTTGTGTCATATATCTTACAAAAGTTGATGAATGAGTCTGTGGGCAGTGCTCTGGGAGAGCTGCTAATCTATCCTTTGCCCACAGCTATTGGTAGAGGCTTGGCTTCTCATCAGGATCTTACCCTGGGCAATGGGTGTGGGATTTTCTGATTATCAGATTTGCCTGGTGTAAAAAAGCTACCTGAATAATTTTCAGCATTATGGGAGAGAGAGCACAGTCCTTCCTGAC